ACTTGATTTGGGGCTTAAGTGTGCAATTCCATGAGCTCCTACAAATCCATCACCCATGTAACCAACATCCAAATCAAGAACTAGAACACTTCCATCACCTCCGAAAGTTACCTTGTGCCTCTTTTCTTACTATACTATTAATGCCCAGAGGCAACTATTGTTCTGACTTGTTCCCCTAGGTTTCCCGTTCCTAAGCGTCATATAAACTTAAGTACACAGTATGTACTCTTTTGTGTCTGGCTTCTTTCACTCAATGCTTTTCTTGCGATTCATCCTTCTGCGTTGTTGCATAAATCAGTTTATTCCTTTTTATTACTGAGTGGTATTCCACACCAGTTTATCTGATCTAATATTGAGAAGCATTTGGGTTATTCTCAATTTTTTGTTATTATGAATGAAGCCTCAATAAACGTTTTTGGTGAACATGATTTCCTTTTTCTTTTTCTTTTTTTTTTAAGAGAATACTGGGGAGTGGAATTTCTGTCACAGGTAGCTCTCTAAGAAACTGTTAGTGGTCCACAGTGGTTGAACCATTTTACACTCACACCAGCCATGTATAAATGCCCCAGTTGCTGTACATCCTCACTAACACTTGGTCTTAGCTGCCCTTTTAACTATTCCAGTGTTATCCCATTGTGGTTTTAATTAGCACATGCCTCATGAAATGGCATCTCCTGGTGTTTTCTTTTAAATCAGCTTTATTTACTTACATACAATACTACTCACCCATTTTAAGTGCACAATTTGATAAGTTCCTACAACTGTATATAGTCATATATCCACCACCACAATCAAGATACAGAATTTTCCCACCATGTCCTTTACAGTCTACCCCTCCCTCATCTATAGTCCCTGGCAAGCACTGTTCTGCTTTCTGTGACTATAGTTTGCATTTTCTAGACCATTATGGAATAACAAAGCATAGTCTTTTGTTTCTAGCGTCTTCCCGTTTAGTTTTATCCATGGTATTGCATGAATCAATTTATTCCTTTTTTATTTCTATTTGTTTTGCAGAAACAGGGTTCCACTGTGTTGGCCCAGGATGGTCTCGAACTCCTGGGCTCAAGTGATCCTCCTGCCTTGGCCTCCCAAAGTGCTGGGATTACAGGCATGAGCCACCACACCCAACCTCTTTTCCTATTTATTTATTTATTGAGATGGAGTGTTGCTCTTGTTGCCCAGGCTAGAGTGCAATGGGGCAATCTCGGCTCACCGCAACCTCTGCCTCCTGGGTTCAAGCGATTATCCTGCCTCAGCCTTCTGAGTAGCTGGGATTACAGGCATGTGCCACCACGCCCAGCTAATTTTGTATTTTTAGTAGAGACGGGGTTTCTCCATGTTGATCAGGCTGGTCTCGAACTCCCGACCTCAGGTGATCCACCCGCCTTGGCCTCCCAAAGTGCTGGGATTATAGGTGTGAGCCACTGTGCCCAGCCCTTTTCCTTTTTTATATCTAAGAGTATTCCACTGAACAGAGATATCACAATTTAATTCATTAATTGTTGGACATATGGCTGTTTCTAAATTTTTGCTTCTATGAATAAGCTGCTACGAACATTTGCCTGCAAGAGTGGAATTGCTAGATCATATGTTAACGACACGTTTCACTTTATAAGAAACTACCAAGCTGCTTTCCAGTGCATCATTTTGCATTCCCTTCAGCGCCTTCACAGTATCTTAGTATCATACCGACACTTGGTATTTTCCATCTTCTAAGTCTGAGCCACTTTAGTGTTACGTAGTATCTTGCAGTTTAAACTGCTCTTCTCTGACTGCTGACAAGGACTTTAATCTTTCTAAGCTAATTATCAATGCATCCTCAGCTTTAATTATGGATAAAAGCAAAGTATATTTTACCATAGTTTTGTAATATTAGCATGCTGTTTTAATAGTATTGTAACACTATTGTATGTTATCGTACTTTTACTTTAAATGTTTTGGGTGGTAGTTTTGGTCAGTTTTAGAATCCACCACTTTAAATCTGTTATCATATATTATCAGGCACCTTGTTAGGTGCTTTTCCTCCATATTTTAGTCCCATAACTATTCTATGAGGTAGGCTTTGGTGTTCCCAGTTTACTAATTGAAACTTAATATCTTTTCAAAATTTTGTTAGCTTTGACTGTGGCAGTCCCACATAGACTGAGTCCATGTGTCTCAGTCTATTATAATTACGACACAGATGGGTTTAGAAAACACAGATGGGTTTTAGAAAACCACCACCTGCTACTGAACCTTCTTGTGTTTTCACCTGTGAGATATCTGCCAAGAGCAACATATGACTGCTTGCAACTTTCATTGATCCAAAGCTGGTGAAGGGGCAAGCCAAATGAGCTGGTATAGATCCCCGGATATTAATGAGTGGGCAAACTCTGCTACAGGGGGACTCTAAAAGGCCAAGAAGGGTTGTGAAAGACTTGGTCAGAATCTCAGGTGGCAAGAAATGGAGCTCTCTTAGCCATCTGTAAACCATCAGTGTTTCCAAGTCTCACAGCAGTTGGGGTATTCGAACAGCAGTCACAGGTAAGCCTTAATCTTAGAGGACAAATCAAGGGGAACCCAGGAGAGGAGATCCCTGTCTGCCTTTGCTGGTCACCTATCTTGGGTAACTAATTCAGCTAAGGAGGAAGTAGAAAGGTCTTTGTGTCCAGATGATCAATCTCCTTCACTGGCCCTCAGTAGTGTTGGACTGCCCCAGAAGCCATTGGGTATGTCCTTTGGTTAGGGTGACAGGGGGGATAGTCACCCTCAGCCAAACAGCCTGACACCAAGAGAATGTACCTGAAATGACAACTGCCCCTTGGTACAGCTGTTAGGTCCATATATCTGCTCTTTGGATCCAGTTCCAGTCAAGGTCTCTTATTTTCTGTAACCTGCTTCTCCCCTTTCCAGCCACCTGACACCCACCGCACTTGCTTTCCCTTTCTTATCAAAGCTTCTCTTGAAATAATTTAATAATCTCACTCAGTTCACATACTTCTAATGTTTAATGTGCTTCCTTTCTCAGGGATTCTATGCTCTGACTGTGAAGTGTTTAACCAAAGAAACAAATCCCCGGTAGAGTGATAATGTAATAGGAGGCTGAATGGTGATATTTGTGTGTGCACTGGGGTGAAGGTGAGGGTCAGGAGCTATCTAGACCCTGTTCTGGCATCTTCACTTCTAAAATATCTCAATGGCAGCTCCACCTCCTGGAGGAGAGGGTTTTACATTTCTTGCCTATCTCTTCCCACCTGGGGCACAGGGCTTGGACAGCAAGTGGAAAAGGTGTGACTGTGCAAGGTGCCCTCTATGTCCTAAGTACTTTTACTACATTTGGTTTAAATCTTCACAACCCTGCAATGTAGGTATTACATTCATACTACAAATAAATGGGAGACTTAAAAGTTAGATGACGTGCCCCAGGTCACACAGTAAGTGGCAGAACTGGGATTTAAACCCAAGGTCAGCCTGATTCAAGGTTCCTGATCCTTTCCTGATACAATGCCATCTCTTCATTAGTATTTCTTCTAAGAAACTGAGTTTCTCATCATTCCTAAATGGATGCAAAGTAAACAGCAGTGACCGCCCTCCTCCACTTTCCACCCCAAGCCCTTACTCCACTACTCCAGAAATAGCCTGTACTTCATTCCTTGTCTCAGGAACACTCGCCTCCCTTCCTCCAAATAGACTAGGTAAGTTATCAACTTAGGAAAACAACTGACATATTCTGACAAATATTTATTCTACTATACTCCCAAATTTAACTTCCCAAAAAAAATCTCATTCCTTCTCAAAAATTCCTGCTTAGCTGAATACCTCATATTGTGGGCATTCAATGCAAAAGTACATATGCCAAATGCTTAATAAGATTTAATTTTCTCTCTCGAGAGAGAGAGGTAAATGTGATACATAAGTCCCATTCCTTTCCCCTACCCAGCCCACGTCTATCAGATACTCAAATGTGATGAAAATTAAAAAGAATGTACAAGCATGTTTTAAACTACTAAGAGCACTATCTTTCCATTGCTCTTTTTAGGACTTTCATTGCTCATAAGGACTTAATTTCCTAAGTCCTCCCTTCCCCCACCATGCTTCCCCCAATACCCCCATTCAGCAGTGCTGGTTCCCTCTCCAGTTAGAGGAATGGAAATTGATTGGCTGTCTTGTACAGGGATTCTCAGAGGGCAAGCCAAAGAACTGAAGTTGGTTTTCATGGAGTAAACCAGCTCAACCAGGCCTCCGTGCCTAAGTCCTTGCCGTGAAGGCCCAGCCACAACAACACTGCCAGGCAGGCAGTTCACTTTCTCTTAGGAAGGCAGCAGATTCCCCACATCATGTCTGCACTAGAATACTGCAGCCAGCAGGGAGAAGAGGTGGGTCACTTCAATTACATCAGAAAAAATCCAATAGGACCATCAAGGACCTCTCCCATTATGTCCCAACTTTAATGTCCTTATTATTAAGCAGTCAATGATACCCAGGACTTTGTCACCAAACTTTTACAAATGTCAACATGGCCTTAGGACGGGCCAGACATCCACCTACTCTGTGGCCTTGAACCCAGTCAGGCCTCTCAGTGATCCTTCCAGGGCTCCACCCCACCTCGCCACAGAACTCCAGGAGCCATGAAACATGGGAATCTCTCTCTTTCCAAAGCTCAGAAAGAATGAAGGCAGCTACAGTCCAGGGTGAGACCAAGTAGCTGAGCTTTCTGCTTGATGTGCAAAGAGAAAACTTGAGTAGCAGGGACACAGGGCCAACTGGCTTCTTATATGCGCCACTGCTAGAAAAAACTAAGTAAAGGGACTACAGGGGCTGGGAAGGAGGCAAGCAGCAACCAGGAAGGGCTGGGTTAGGAAGGAGCACGGCTCCAGAGGAAACCTTTCTGATCCGAACTCTTCTGCTTGTGCTGTCTCCAGGCTCCACTTTCTCATCTCCAGATGAGAGAGAAGTAGAACTTCTGGTTCAAGTGCTGAGGTCCTTTGAGATCTCTGTAAATACAGTTCACTCAGTCAACATTTATTGAATAGTCACTGTTTACTGAGTCTAGAGGAGGGAGGTAGAATCAGTTGAGTACAAAAGTTTAGTCTGAGGTTTGATTGGAAGCCCATCCTGCAATAGTGACTGCTCCTGAAACCCACCAGACCCTGCTTGCCGTAGGGCAGAACACTGAGAAACCACATTTGTTGCATTGTAGAGAAACCACATCCCCCTCCACCTTCCCCCTGGACTGTGTCCTTTGATACATGGAGACAGGTAACAGCTACTGGGATTATCTGGGCTCCTTCACTGGGGCCATGGGAAATTCACAAAGTTCATAGATCCTCTCGCACCTCACAGAAAGCCAACAGCTAAAGAAGAGATGTCCACGAGAGAGGCTTCTAGAAGGCTAAATGAGCAGTGATGGGGGGTCAGAATAGGAAGACCTAGGGCTGCTGGCAGGGGGAGTATTTGGAAGGAGGCAGTGAAGCCCCAAGACGAGGATGACAGGAAATGGGCTCGGCATGTTGTGGCTTCTCCGCCTGTCTACTGAGGAAGTTCAAAGGCTTCTCCTCAGGACAGGGGATGGGAGAGGGGTGAGGAAAGATCTAAGGAAATAAGGACCTCAGAAGACCCCCTCAAATTCAGAACAAAGGACTTCCGGTCTAAATACGTTCTGTATGTTTTCTCCTGAGCTACAACTCAGCAACCTCACCAGGGCCCCAAACAAACCACACATGGCTCACTTAAGGTAGAAACGAAAACCTGCTTTATAAGGCTGCGTGGCCACCACTGGCTTCTCTGCTGAGATATGAGGTGCCAGCCAGGCAGACAGGTGACAAAGGGTGACCCTTCCTCACCTTCTCCCCATCACTACCATCCCCCCGGCCCTACAAATACCCATCTCTGTAATGCAACCACTTCAAAAAATACTCTGAGGAGGGACAGGGTGAAAGGGGTAGGAGTTCAGACTGGTCTGAACAGCAGGCTGGTTCCCGTGAGGTAGCTGATGCCCATGCTCCTGGGCAGAGGCTTTTGGAGAGAGGCCAATTATGTGCTCACAGCCAGAAGGGAGTCACTGGTTGACTGGAAAGTGGAGGAAGTAGAAACTCTTGAAGTCCGCCCAGAGTACTTGATCACAGGTAACGTCTGAGTGGAAAGGCTGGGCTCTTTGCTGGTGTCCTCACTGTCCTTTGAGGAACTGGGTTTCTGGGGATAAGGGGAAAGGCCAGTTTGAGTCTTCTTGGATTTGGGCGTGGTCCCATCTTCAGAGAGCAGTAGGCTTCCCTCACAGGAGCTGTGTTTTCTGGAGGGAATAGGTGGTGAAAGAAATGGCTGAGACATCGTTACTGAGACTTTACCTTAGGATTTGCCTTCAGAGTCTGGAGCAGGCATTCACCACATTACGGTGTTGTAGGCCATAATTACATGGATATGTAATAACCATTAAAAAATATTCTATTTACTTGAAGGCTTGAGATCTGCAGTGCAAGAGTGAATGGAGGTGCGGGTAGAGGGCTAATGACTTCCCACAGCTAGTGGGTATGGCTGACAGTGGTCGCTTCAGGAGGCGCTTCTGTCCTCCAGCTCAGCTTCCCTGGGCATACCAAGAGCTACCAGGAAAAGGATGCTATGGCTGCATGTCCTGACAGTCCCATCAACCCCCAGCTGAAGAATGCTGATCTCACTGCCACAGTCTGGGAAGACGGGAAGGAAGAAAACTCTCCAGACTCACAGCCAGCAGCCCATCCCTTGCCCAGGCAGCACTCACCCCAGCTTGCTAGTCTCTGATTTGCTGAAGGCATTGAGTATCACGTCATCCTTTGAGACAGTCAGAAGTGTTGTCGGGAGAGACCACTAAGAGCAAAGGAATCAATGAGACCAAAAGGGCTTGGCAGAGGCAAGGCAGGAGTGTTTGGGGTCTTGGGACCCTCCAGCTCTACCTCTAAGTGGATCATGGGGCTCTCCCCTTCCCTACCCCTCAGGTGTAGGCCCGGGTGGGTAAAAGTCTCAGTTCTCTTCTGAATCAGACAAGAAGTTGAGGCCTACAAAGCACTTTTTGATCCTTGAAAGAAAGGTACCCAGGGAATCCTGGAGGCAACTATTCCCTTGAAAGGAAAGAGTAGTGAGACAGAAGCACAGCCTAGCAGAGAAGTGAGAGAGGCCTCTACATACCAATCCAACTCCTGATGCACTCATAAGGCAGAGGGAGGGGCCTGAGAAGGAGCTGTCCTCCACAGTGGCAGCACTCACCACTGGAGCAGAATCAGAGACAACTCCCATGTGGAACCCTTTGTAGCACCAACTCCGGAGCAGATCGACTCCTAGGACAAGATTAGTAGGACTTGTGGTTTAAGAAAGTAGAATCAACTGGCCAATTCTTCTTTCCAGAGAGGCCTATTTCTTGGTATACTGGGATTTAATCTCTCACTAAACATGGCTTTCTGAGGGCTGGGAGGGCACATCACCTTTAAGCTTGTTGCCATGGTATTTCTGTTCCCATTGGGTGGTGAGAATGTTGAAATATCGTGGCTGCTCAAAAAAGCGGAGATAGCGAGAGGAGATATGAGAAGGAAAAATTCGTTCAAACTGACCACGGCGAGAAAACTCATCTTCCATCTCAACCAGAATCCGAACATCATCTGGTGTCAGAACATCCAGCACAGATGCATAGAAGTCCTGTGGTCCAAGGAACAGGGAGAAAAAGTGTGTGACAGAGAGTGTAAACCAGGGGCAGAGACTCAAGAAGCTGGGGGACAGGGAGCACACCCCTGGGGTCCTACAGCTCCAGGACTCTCATGGAACTACTGAGGGCAGCCTAGTGGGCCAGCTCTGAAAGACATCTGTTCCTAAGTCTACTGAACTTAGCTAGTGGGGAAGACACTCTTATTTGGGGTCGGGGGAGCCACTGGGGCTGAGAGGTTAAGTAGTTTGTTGGGTAAAGTCAAGATGAGGATCCAGCAATTCAGATTTGGCACCAGTCCTGTATCTGCCATGCTTAAATCCAGCTCCCTTATCTGCTCTGAGAAAGTCAGCTTCCTGGGGTCTCTCACTGTGCCTCTCAGAGAAAGAAACCAAAGGGCAAAAGTCTACAGCTTGGACAAAAGAGGGCGAGAAAACATGGTAAAGACAATTAATGCTCTCCCAGAATGACAGACATGCCAAAAAATCTCTGTGCATCAAAGGATCACAGGCCTGGATTAAGAAACCCTGCTCTAAAGAAAAGCTGGTTGCAGCCAGGAGCAGAGGCTCACACCTGTAATCCCAGCACTTTGGGAGGCTGAGGCAGGTGGATCATTTGAGATCGGGAGATCAAGACCAGCCTGACCAACGTGGAGAAATCCTGTCTCTACTAAAAAATATAAAATTAGCTGGGTGTGGTGGCGCATGCCTGTATTCCCAGCTACTCGGGAGGCTGAGGCAGGAGAATCACTTGAACCCGGGAGGCGGAGGTTGTGGTGAGCCGAGATCGCACCATTACTCTCCAGCCTGGGCAACAAGAGTAAAACTCCATCTCAAAAAAGAAAAAAAAAAAGAAAAGAAAAGCTGGTTGCTTTTGGGTCCCGAATGTTTAACCAGGGAAGTTTTCTGCTAGCACTGGGGGGAAGACCAACCTCCTACCTGATCAGGAATTTTCTGGGTCAGATAATAGGCTTTCTTCATCTTCTGTGCAGTGACATGCTCTGGAGCCATTCGACATTTGTCCCCGGGGGAGGTGGGCAAGCTACAGCAGAGGCCGGAAAGAAAGCAAAGGGCAGGGTCAGCAGCTTTGTATTTGGAGGAAATATGGAGAAGGTCCAGTCCAGCAGATACCCTTCTCGAGAGAAGACAAAGATGCAAGAACAGAGGTTACTTGAGTAGTAGGTTGGACTAAAATACACTCCCCAAAAGTAACCTGAGAGTCATCAAATATTAAGTGAAAGGGTATAAACCACCATCTTTAGGTTGAATTTGAATGATAAAAAATGAGGACCTTGCAATAAGCCTTATTGTGGTATATACTTCAGTTTGTTTTAATTCGGTGAACACTTAACTATATACCCAGCTCTGTCCTACTGGCTGTGTGACCCTGGGCAACTGACTTCACCTCCCTTCACCTCAGTTTCATCACCCACATTACTACAATTACCATAATCACTGTTGAGAGGAATGGTGAGACTCTGTCTCTAAAAAAATAATACTAATGAAAAAAAGATGATTAAAAAGCAACTCTTGCCCCCAAGGAGCTTACGGTATGGCAGGTGGGATACGTCAAATGACAACCACTGGACAGAGCCAAACATGAGTCTACAAGGTACAGTGGGGAAAGCAAGTTTTGTTATCAGGCAAATCAGGATTTGAATTCCAGTCCTACCACTCTCCAGTTGAAAGACTTTGATAGGCTACTTAATCCCAAAGAGCTTCAGTTTTCTCCTCTGTAAACTGCAGGTACAAATACTAACCTTACAGGGTTATTGGAAGGATAAATTATAGGGTTTTCCTCACACATCTCAGATACTAAGTAAATATAAACTCCCTCCTCTCAAGAGTGGTTCCCAGTGCTTTATGGTATGAAAAAAGAAAAAAAAAATGGCCATACTGAGTTGGCTTCATGAAGATGTATAAGCTAGACTTTGATGAACAGTAAAGGTTAATGGCAGGTCTGGCTATGGGCATTTCAGGAGGAAGAAACCCCATAAGCAGAGGAAAGAACACTATGGGGAACAGCAAGAGGCAATAAACATTTCAGAGAAGAGACTGGACCAACTGGTCCTTAAGGATCATTCTGACCTTGAGGTTGTGTGAGTGATCCAGTTTGTCAGGGCACAGGAGCCAGGAGAGGAAGAAGAGAGATACACCAAGAAAAAGGAAGCTGAGACCCTGACTGCCCAGGTAAGGAGTTAATTTTTTTTTTTTTTTTTTAGAAACAGGGTCTTGCTATATTGCCCAGGCTAAAGAGAGTACAGTGGTTATTCACAGGCGTGATCATCATAGTGCACTACAGCTTTGAACTTCTGGCCTTAAAAGATCCCCCTGCTTCAGCCTCCCATGTAGCTGGGACTAGAGACACACACCAGTGTGCATGTTTAAATCTAATTCCTAGGCCTGTGGTTCCTGAGCAGAGGATCAACATAACTGAACATACTTGAGAGGCACTGATGTGGCATGGTAGCATGTTAGTGGACTGTAAGGGCAAGACTGAGCAGCAAGGGAAACCAGGCAGAAGGGAGTACCCAGAATCCATTCCTTCCCAGAAACTACAGCAGGGCTATTCATGCTGCCAGCGGAGCTGTGAAGAAACAGGGGCCTCACCTGGTGGTGGAGCTGCTGCAGCTGCTAGGGCTGGAAATGACATCCTCTGCATTGGGCAGGACAAAACCTGCCAGATTCAGAAGGTCACGAATCATCTGGCCTTTGATGCTGATATCCAGTGGAGAGTTGGAGTGGAGGCTTCAGAAAAAGGATAAAAAGAGCGATCAAAGCAGCACTCCGAAACAGTCTCTGGTCATATGTGCAACTCAGGGCTAGTCTCATTTACTTCCTGGATTCCCTAGGATGAAAGCTGCTCAAACATTCCCATGCAGGATCACCATCACAAGACTCTCTTGCCCCAAAGACGGTGAATAACCTCACTCAGAGTGGTAAACCTGCCCATGACCTTGATCTGCTAAAGGAAAGCAAGCGGTAAGGATCCACTTAAAAAGAACAACTTGCCAGGCATGGTGGCTCACACCTGTAATCCCAGTACTTTGGGAGGCCGAGGTGGGCGGATGATGAGGTCAGGAGATCGAGACCATCCTGGCTAACACAGTGAAACCCTGTCTCTACTGAAAATACAAAAAATTAGCTGGGTGTGGTGGTGCACGCCTGTAGTCCCAGCTACTCGGGAGGCTGAGGCAGGAGAACTCTCTTGAATCCAGGAGGTGGAGGTTGCAGTAAGCCAAGACCACACCACTGCACTCCAGCCTGGGTGACAGAGTGAGACTCCATCTCAAAGGGGGAAAAAAAAAAAGAACAACTTACTAGAGTGGCAATGGGAGCGTGAGGATAATGGAAGGATTCTATTGTGAGTGTCCTGAGAATACCACCTACCTTGGGGAAATGTTGACTTCCAGGACCCAGGGCTTGAGGTTTTCGTCTAGCATGATGTCAAAACCAAAGAGTTCGTGGCAGCTATACGGCCGCCGCACATACATCTTGAGCAGACTCGTCACGTAGGGCTCTGACCTGGTCACGGGGATGAGGAAGTGCTCAGTTCAGCTCCTCCCAGAGGGCTCTACCCAGAGCTATCCTGCCAAAAGAGTGGCCCAGAGATAGGCAGGGCAGAAGCAACCCAGGAAAGGTAGCTGTCAAGAGATGCCTCTGATCTGGGACCAGCTCCTGGGGATGAAGTTCAGTAGATGAGCAGAACTTAACTCTGGCCACTCCTTCCTATTCTCCATCCTTAAAACCAAACCACAGCAGGGGCAAAGTCCAGAGCACAGCAGTGTGAGGCCTGGGAGAAAGGAGGGGGGTCAGCGGCAGGCCCCACGCCCAGGTTGGCAATGTGACTCACGAGATGATGGTTTTGACAACAACATCCTTTATCTTCTCCCAGATGGCATCACTATTGACTCCCTTCTGGCTCAGGTAGTTCCACAAAGCCTTCAGTGCCCTGCAGAGGAGAAAGAGGAAGTATTAGGAATTATATTCTAGGAATGAGTGACAAAACAAAGAAAAAGTAAGAAGAGACCTAATGGTATTTTCTTCATATCTCTTCCTTTGACAGTTTAAATTATGAAAGAGACGAACTTGGATGCAAATAGACCAATTCTTTTTTTTTTTTTTTTGAGATGGAGTTTTGCCCTTTCACCCAGGCTGGAGTGAAGTGGCGCGATCTTGGCTCACTGCAACCTCTGCCCCCGAGGTTCAAGTGATTCTCCTGCCTCAGCCTCCTGAGCAGCTGGGATTATAGGCGCCCGCCACCACGCCCAGCTAATTTTTGTATTTTTAGTAGACAGGGTTGCGCCATGTTGGCCAGGCTGGTCTCGAACTCCTGACCTCAGGTGATCCACCCACCTTGGCCTCCCAAAGTGCTAGGATTACAGGCGTGAGCCACCACATCCGGCCTCAAATAGACCAATTCTGAATTGGTAATTGTTATCTCTGGGTCTTATATTAATCCTCCACTCACCATGCCCCTGAACTTCCCAAAACCCCAGAACCCTGTATTCCTCTAGGCCTTCACTGGCCTGGGACACTCTGCCCTCAGTACCATTTGTGGCCCTGGCAGGCCATTTCATCTGCATTGGCCTGGTACTCGGCATTCTTTTTATTGACACTGTAGTTGGTCAGGTGCATGAACTTATTGCCAAGGCTCTTCATGGAAGGAGAATACCTGGAAGTAAGCAAAACAAAGGCAGAGGTAAGATGGTGACAGAGCAGATGGAGAAGGGGCCAAACATTTCCCCAAATACTGAAGAGGTGAAGAACAAGTACACAGATCTTTTCACAGCCACAAGAGCCTGAGAAGTGTGTCTGTTGGCCAAGTTCTGAAAAACCACAGCTAAACTCATCTCCTTTATCCCACCTCAGTCCCGTACACAGGAAGATATTCCCCAGATTTAACGAAGTAGAGAGCCTCCTTATTTCCCATTTCCTGCCTTCTCCCTTGCTAACAAAAACTATCAAAATATTTGTTATTTTCCTGTTTGGTGTCTTCTAGTTTCCCTCCCTCTGAGGAAAACAAATCCCCAATATTGTCAGAGGATACCTCACCACTGTCACATACTTGCAACTGGCAAAGCGGACCAGTCCATCCGAAAAGAGGTAAATCCGCAGAGGATCGTAGGAAGTGACGTAAACATAGATCCGCAGGTCAAACTTGCTGCCGCTGATGAGGTAGGGTTTGTGTAGATACCTACATAAAACAAAGGCCAGCTTCTCATCCAGCCACATGATGGGGCTCAGTGGGAAACCAAGCCACAGAAAAAGCCAGCTAACAGACCCCAAGATAAAGACCTTAGAACCGTTGGCTAAGGAAGCTCTTTGGCTGGGAGAACAAAGGGCAGAAGAACATTTTAAGAAGGGAACCTCAAGGCCAAGGAGGTGGGAGGATGGGGTAAGGGATATGTGCTACAGGCTCACCTCTGTACCAGGAGGGGCCTTCGCTTAGGGAGCTGACTCCACTTATGAATAACCTGGATGCCAATGCCTCGAGCTGATGCTGGCTAGGAGCAGAAAGGAGATGAGATTTGCTCCAGGTCCAATACTCTGTTGTTCCCACTCAGACCATAGTCTCCTGCCCACTGTGATTCACTCACTGGCTTCACAATCCACTTTTGGCGGCTGCTGCTCTCCCATGCTTTGCGCAGGAGCTTGGCGTCCTGGGGCAGGATAAAGGACTGGGGGAAGAAACTGAACTCCTTCTTGCCAAAGCGGCTCTGCATGCGTGACAGGTTCCGCCATAGCCGGTCCTTCCTCCCAATCTGGAATGAGCCTGGGAAATGGTTTAGCTACAAAAGGAAAAAGGGTGAGTGTAGGAAGAGGGCAGAAGTGAGGCCATAAGGAAGATGACAAGACTCACTCTACCATTCCAACTTCTTTAGCAGCACTCCAAGCTGTTGTTCCATCTTACTATCACCACCCTAATGGTCCTTAAGTATCCAACTGCAGAGCACTCACCAAAAGATGATTAAAACACAGACAAAACAGAGTAACGTAAGACAGACATGATATTCACCTTAAGTGCAAAGAAAAAGCTATTACACCTTTTCCATGAAACTCTATGGGATGAGGACAGAAAAGCATTTCACCTTTAGTAAGTCTGGGGGCAAGGGACTCATTCATTCCAACGTGAGACCAGAAGTCCTCTTTACACATATTCAGCTTGGGAGAATGGAATGTGCAGTGGTCATAGGGAAACATAATAAACAGAAAACAGACAGTCTAACTCAAGACACTAAATCAGAGGAAAAAGTGCCTTTGAGAAGCTGCAACTGCAGGATTTCAGAGCTACACCCTCCTATGAGGTTGGATTTCAGGAGAGGGACTCCGCTGCCCCCACATAGCAAGAAGCTCCAAAATACTGCAGCTGAACTGGAGATGTACGTGATCCACTGGAGTCTCTCACTGTACCCCCACCCTGTACTTTCTCCTCTGTACAGCTTCCTGACTTCTCCATGGTCATCATCCTCTTCCCGCCCCCTACCCCCTACCCACATCATCACCCTCCTCTTGGCCTAGTCCAAAGTCCAGGGAAACAGCTCCTCAGAAAGGGCCCCTACCTTCTGATGCTCTCGAATGGATCGGAAACTAGGAGACTTCATGTGGTGACCCCAACAGCCCAGCCAGTCATCGTTTCCTATGGGAGGTACATCAGGAATCAGCCTTGCTAACAGCCCAGTCCAGGGACAGAGAAAGGCCCAGAGGCCCCAGAACTGGGCACAGCTCCCAGACTTGGTTTTCAAAGAGTTGCTATGGAGCTGTCCTACATGAGGCCCTGGGGCCAGGGACAGAACAATGGCCCTTTGTCTCTCAATTCTGAACAACAGGCTTAGCCCAGGATTTCAGAGCTACACCCTCCTATAAGACTGGATTTCAGGAGAGGGCCCCAGCTGCCCCCACATAGGCACGAGGTGTCTAGAGCTCTCCCCCTACTCAAAGCCCATCTATTTGGGGCAAAAAGGACAGGTTCACAGTAAGGCAAGCAACTCACTTTTGCTGATTTTGAAGTGGGACCGTCCAATGGTCTGCTTGACAATGTTGGGGGTCACTGTGCTCATCTTCCACCGGAGCAACTTCCTCTGCTCCCAGGGAAGTTTCTCCACTGGGAAGAATGCAAGGGGTGTAGGGATGGGGGGTGGAGAAGAGCAGAGAGTCATGATGAGAAGACAAAAAAGATGGTATGGCTGCCCATTTTTCCCTGGGCAGGGAAGTCACTATTGCTCCAGATCAGGGTTTCAGAGGAGCACACTTTGGGAAGGAAGAGGGGCTGTGCAGCAATGAGGAACAAAGAAAGGGAAGACTGAAAGGGAAAAGCAGCAAGGTTGGAGAGCATGAACTCAGCATGACATGGCAAGGCTGAAAAGGGTCAGCTAAAGGACAGACAAGAAAAAGGTTGCATTAGACCTACGACCATGTGGGGAACTGAGCACAGTTCTGGAAACCCTCTCCCACCTACTGCCACCTCCTCCCAACTTAGCTAGCAACCTTCTCCCGGGGGCTCTTCTGGGGTTTGACACTTGGCCAGGTTTACCTCTCTCATCCCGAGTGCCAAAATAGATGGTAGGGGGAACGTTGGGAAAGAGACTGTAGATGAGGGCTGGTCGGACAACTTTCTCATGATTGGAAAGGGGTTTGGTCAGAATTTCCATACAGCTTCTAAGACGAAAAACAAACACGGACTAGAGAAAGGGAAAAAGCAACAGCCCTGAAGTGTTGTTACTATGATGTACGATTTCTTTCCAAGTGCTGTCTTTTAACTTGTGATTCTAAAAAGCCAGGTGCTCAATAATTAATAATTCTTTTATACATATTAATCCATAAGGTACTAGGCTAACCTACACATAACCACACCATTAAATGTCACCTAAAGACAAGGTTTTCCAATACTTCATTCTGCAATACAGCTCCAAAATTTTCTGTGACAAGACATTGTCTGGGAAAGTCCCTGACAGGAGTGGTTCTGAGGGGAAATGAATGCGGGTGGATACTAGTAGAAGAATGTGCTATGCTAAGATGAAGAAATAAATGAGGGAAGAAAAGAATGATGTGAAAATTACGAAGGAGGAAAACCAAAAAAGATCTGAGGTGTAGAGACTTTTAAATAGAAAAAGGGGGAAAAGCAATAGAAAGAAAAGAAACAGTGATACTTCTAGTTCATTTTATATTTAGGTTTCATCTAAAGATTCATGGACTGTTAGTGCTTTTCTCCATTTTGGAAGTGATTTGTGACACTGGAATTTTAGGTTAACAGTATGGGAACAAAGATCTGGATGTAACGAAGAGATGTGGCTGATCTGGGGCTATGGGGTTCCCTACTGTTATTCCAACAAGGGCTTGGCCAAGGCAGTCTCAAGGGGTGTCAACATAGCAGACATATCAACTACCTGTCAGGTATAAGCTGACAGACTCAGATCGTTCCTTTAACTAGCACTGAAAAATGGAGAAAATAGCTATTACTCTTTACAATTTAGATAATATAATCCACGAATATTATTATAACATTAATTTTTAGTTTAAAAAAGTCACTTTACCTGTTATTATTTTCAGCATGACAGAAATAGGCACTGTACATGAAACATTTCAGTGTTTTAAATCTTAAAGATTTTTAATGAATTTTAGGGAATCAAGTTAAATACTAATTCCCAATGAAAAATTCCTATTAATTCAACTCTATTCCTCATTTTCAAAATTTTTTCTTCAAAGGCTTTTGGTTTACTGAGTAGAGAATTTAAGATTGTTGAAGTCAATAAGAATGAGTTAAAATTTAAAAACAAAGATAGAGGCCGGGGGCAGTGGCTCACGCCTATAATCCCAGCACTTTGGGAGGCCGAGGCAGGCAGATCACCCGAGGTTGGGAGTTCGAGACGAGCCTGACCAATATGGGGTAACCCCCATCTCTACTAAAAATACAAAATTAGCCGGGCATAGTGGCGCATGCCTGTAGTCCCAAATACTCGGGAGGCTGAGGCAGGAGAATGGCTTGAACTCGGGAGGCAGAGGTTGTGATGAGCCGAGATCATGCCATTGCACTCTAGCCTGGGCAACGAGAGCAAAACTCCATCTCAAAAAAAAAAAAAAAAAAAAAAAAAAAAAAGATAGAAACATAAAATGGTACAGCCACTCTGGAAAACAGTTTTGGCAGTTTCTTAAAAAACTAAACATGCAATCATCATACAACCTAGTAATTGTACTCCTGGGCATTCATCCCAGAGAGATGAAGACTTATATTCACACAAAAATACGTACATGATTATTTATAGCAGCTTTATTCATAACAGCCAAAAGCTGAAAACAACCCAAATATCCTTCAACAGGTGTATGGTTAAACAAACTGTGGTACATCCATACCACAGAACACTATCCAGCAATAAAAAAGAATGAGAACTATTGATACATGCAACAACCCAGGTCAATCTCCAAAGAATATGCTGAGTGAAAAAATGTCAATGTCAAAAGGTGACATACTGCTGTCACTCTATCTGTGTAACATTCTTGAAATGACAAAAAGGAGAACTAGTGGTTGCCAGGGGATTAAGGAGGGAATGGGAGTAGGAGGGAAGTAGGTGTAGCTATAAGAGTAGCAGGAGGAGGAATTCCTACAGTGATGACAACATTCTGTATCTTTTTTTTTTTTTTTTTGAGACAGAGTCTTGCCTCTTGTCACCCAGGCTGGGGTGCAGTGGTGCGATCTCAGCTCACTGCAACCTCTGCCTCCCAGGTTCATGTGATTCTCCTGCCTCAGCCTCCCGAGTAGCTGGGATTACAGGTGCCCACCATCATGCCCAGCCAATTTTTGTATTTTTAGATGATGTTGTATTTTAGTAAAACACAGGGTTTCACCATGTTGGCCAGGTTGGTCTCAAACTCTTGACTTCAACTGATATACTTGCCTCAGCCTCCCAAAGTGCTGGGGTTACAGGCGTGAGCCACTGTGCCCAGCAAAATGTTCCATATCTTGACTCTAACAATGTTAACAACATCCCAATTGTACTATACTGTACTTCTACAAGATGTTACCCAATGGGGGAAACTGAGTAGAGAGTACAGGGGACCTCTCTGCATTCTTTCTTACAACTGTATGTGAAATCTATAATTATCTCAATATCACAAGCTTAATTTAAAAACAAACAAAAAACCCTTGTGAGTCATCTCACAAGAGTCCTAAACTTCTCTTCAAGAGACCTGGCTTCTAGTCTAGCCATGCTAGAAACTATGACCTTGGAACAGCTACTTCACTTCTCTGGTCCTCAATATTTACACTGGACTTGATGGCTTCCATCTCTAAAATTACATGATTCTTAGAGCACGACAGGAAATGCAGTGAAAATATTGTTGTGTAAAGAAACAGGTAGTGTTTCCAATGATTTTTCTGTTTTTCAGTGGTTGCCAAATTTTCCATAATAAATATACAAATACTTCATAATAGAGAAAAAATAAGATTTTAGCAATCTAAAAGTATTTTAGTCATCTTTAAAATGCAGAGTGGTTTGGAATTCATCTATCTCCATTTTTGGTCAGGTGCAGTGGCTCACACCCCTAATCTCAGTGCTTTGGGAGGCTACAGCAAGAGGATCACTTGAGACCAGAGTTCAAGACCAGCCTGGGTAATATAATGAGACCTTCCCCCACAACTCTACAAAAAAAAAATTTTTTTAATTAGCTGGGTGTGGTGGGTGGTCCTGTAGTCCCAGCCGTTCAGGGGGCTGAGGCAGGAGGATTGCTTGAGCCCAGGAGTTCGAGGTTACAGTAAGCTATGATGGATCCACTGCACTCTAGCCTGGGCAATACAGCAAGACTCTGACTCTAAAAAATAAAAATATGTATTTCCATTTTCTTGAAAATTATGTTTAAGCTTCATATAGAGAAGAAGTTATGTGCAATTTGTAGAAGTTAATTAATTAATAAGCAAATGATTAACAAACACCTTTTGTGAATTTTATCTTATATATCAGGAAGGCTAAAGGGCTGTGTAGCAGTCCTGAAGTAGGCCCTTAAGTGTAAAAAAGGTAGGACTCCAAATCAATTACATGTCAAATATCTTTCTCCTATGAAGAGTGGAGGTACTTAATCAACAACCAATATATATAACCCGAAGTAGTTTTGCTTTTCTGGAAGGAGGATGGGTTGGGCTGAAAGTGACAACTTACGCATCAGACTCAGGGTGCCCGTGATGGGATTTCTATCCACCTTCACAGAGAATCCCAGTTCTCGCTCCCACTTTCCAAACAGCTCTGTCTCCACCTTACAGGTTAAGGGCTCTAAAATTGGTGTGCTGCTGCCACACCATCACATTTCACAGAGATGTAGCCCATCTTCTCCATGCTAAACAAGGCAGAGAAGGCTCCCTTTATTCCTAGCTTCATCTAAGGCAGGGTTGATGCAAAGAAAAGCAACCTGACTCTGGGTGCTCCATATATTGGTCAAGCCCAATGATATACAGCTAGTTTTTCATTAAAAATTAGGGCCAGGTGCAGTGGCTCATCCCTATAATCCCAGCACTTTGGGAGGTCAACGATCACAGGTGTGTGCCACCATACCCAGCTAATTGTTTCTATTTTTAGTAGAGATGGGGTTTCACCATGTTAGCCAGCCTGGTCTCTAACTCCTGGCCTCAAGTGATCCACCCATCTTAGCCTCCCAAAGTGTTAGGATTATAGGCATAAGCCACTGTGCCCAGTCCATGATACTGTTTTTGTTGTTGTTGTTGTTGTTTTGTTTTTGAGACAGAGTCTCAATCCGTAACCCAGGCTGGAGTGCAGCAGCGTGACCTCAGCTCACTGCAACCTCCACCTCCCAGGTTCAAGTGATTCTCGTGTCTCAGCCTCCTAAGCAGCCGGGATTACAGGTGTGCACCACCATGCCTTGCTGATTTTTATATTTTTAGTAGAGACAGGGTTTTGCCATGTTGGCCAGGCTAGTCTCGAACTCCTGACCTCAGGTGATCCGTCTGCCTCAGCCTCCCAAAGTGCTGGGGTTACAGGTGTGAGCCACTGCGCCTGGCCCATGATACTGTTTTTAAGCCCCACAGATGAGATGTGCTTCTGGCCCCCCATTACTCCCTGTTCAAAAACTAAAGTCGCAAACACAAAAATTTGGTAAAAATGCATTAGAGTTCTTAAGGCCATTAATGACTTGAGTAGTTAATCTCTTTATAATCTTTAAGAGACAAAAGATGAGCATCTAACAATGATCTATACAGCCACACTTACCTAGAGATCACGGCCACCGATTCGCTAGGGGTGACAGCACTTAATGAGGAGCACTCTGAGTCTCCTAGAGGAAGGAAGAACAGAGAAATTCTGACTAGAAAAGGCTGCAGCACAAGCTTACCAAGCCTAGGCAACTCTTCCTTGAATATCCTGGGCTCAACCCTTCTTGGGGAGCCATAAGCACCACCCTGCTGCTTTGCCTTCCTCAACAGAAGCAAGGGGAAGGTAAGACCAGTGGGACAGGAGGACTAGAGACCAAAGTCCTCTAGAAGGCACTACCTCCCTCTTAAGAACCCCAAACAAATGACTGATGTAGGTAATGTGAGTCAAGGACCTAGTACATAATTGTTAGCCCCCTGCCCAAAATGTCATAACCAACTCCTAGTTGGAAGTGAAAGGGTTCCCTACTCACCCTCTTCCTCTTCATTCTCATCATGGCTACAACAGTCTTCCAAACCATCTACTAGTTCTTCTTCTGTATCTTCAGTCTCAGCCTGATCTGGCTGGAGGTCAGTAGCTGAACTAAAAGAAAGAATCATGCCCCCAGCCTAGTCAACTCCATCAAAGAGGTCACAGTTAGATTCTCATTCCTTCATCATCTCCCAGTATTTGCCCCTTCTCCATTACCAATCTGCTACGTCTTGCCTGGACCTCACAACTCATTTCTCTTGTCTTCAAAGCTTAGGTCTAGGCATAGCTCCTCAACCTTACATCTCCCATTCTGCAAAGAGGCACTATGTTTTCCATTTCTTTGGTGTCCCTCATAGCATATAAGTACAACATTCTACATCTAAAAAACCATCAATGGGTATCTGGTAATTGACTTGAAATGTCCCTAGGCCACTCTCTGGGAACTCAGAAGAAGGCCTTAGTGGACCAAGTTTCCAGGAAAATAACAAAATACAAGAGAAGGAGCCAACTATGTGCGTGCCCTAACTATAAATGGCTGTCATGCCAAGAATGTCTGAAAACCTGATTTGGTTTGGAAAAAGTAGGAAAGTCACAGGCTTCAACACTTGGTGTTCACAATTCTTATTTCTCTCCTGGTTTTTACTTAAAATAGGGGTTGACGAACTCTTTCTCTAAAGGACCAGAAAGTAAATATTTTTGTTTGCAGGCCAGTCAGTTTATCACAACTACTCAGCTCTACCATTGTAACAAGAAAGCAGCCACAGACAACTGCAAATGAATGGACAAGGCTGCATTCCAATAAAACTTTATTTACAAAAGCAGGCAACAAGCAAGATTTGGTCTGCAAGCTGTAGTTTCCCAACCCTTGCCCTGAAGTGAAAACCAAAAATTCTAGGGCAGCTAAAAACTAAAACCTTCAGAGGTACAGGGTCAATGCCATCCCAAATTATGGTATATACATTCTACTGCTCTAAATGAACCAAAAACATTATCCAACGTACCTAATATCCCTATCAGATGAGTCCAGCTCCCTGGCCTCCTCAGGTCTCTCCTTCTCAGACTGGCCCAGCTGGATGGAAGAGAGGCGGGTGGCCACGTTGGCTATGCCAAGAGTTTGAGGAGAAGGGGGACCTGGAGCTTTGCCTTCTCCAAATGGTGGGGGGTCAATTACAGATTCACAGGCAGGGCTGTGATTGAGCCCACTGGCATGTGAGGCAAGGAGGTGAATGCTGATACGTTTGGTACAGAAGACTGTATTGTCCAACCCCAAGGTATCTGAGGCACCAGGGAGGACCCGACCAACCAATCCAGCATCCTCCTGAGGAAACTGCTGATTTACCACAGGAGGTTTCCACCGCCTGCTCCTGTTGAGGACGTTCCACTGGAAGCTGGGGTTCAGGAAACTAGACTGTTCAAACTGGCAGCCTTGCCTCGGCATCTTCTCAAAGCCTCTTGCAGTCAATTTCCTTACGGCCTCAGTGAACCGAATCTCCTTAGTTGGGGCCTGGGAATCAGAGTTGTCATCCAGAGCACAGGAAAGTGGCTCTGCCCTCATGGCTAAGTTATTCCGGTTATACCAGGAAGAGGCAACACTGGTGGTGGATGTGTCATGGGAGTTAGGGGTAGACAAGGCGATATGGGCACTGGCATCAGCTAGGACACTGCCAATGCTTTTGGGCACCTTATGGTCAACAGGCTGCGGTGCACAGTCTCCAGTACCCCCTGAATGATGCCAGGAGACAGGCTGGATCTTGGGTGGCGATACTGGCTTCAGGCCCTCTGTGGTCTGCAATAAAGGCACTTGCGTGCTATTTGGCCGCATGAAGGAATTATTATTCAGCATGGGCTTATAGGAGGAAGAGAGTGGAGATGGGATCTTCCCTGAGATGGCAGACGCCAGGCTCTTCCCTGAAGGGTTTTCCCCAGCCGCTGCCAAGCAGAGGTATGGTTCTGTGGATGAGGAGGCCATGGGCTGGGCCATGGGGAAGACCATGGAAGAAGTGGCCTTGTCGGCAGTGAGACTGACAGGGAGGCTCTTTTGAGGGAGAGAAAAAGGGCTTTTTTCTGATGGGCTCGAACGCAAGCAGAAAGACTCCAGTTGCTGGTAGGGTTTGTGCCTATAGCTGGAGCGGCGGTATAGGAGGGTGCTGTTGAACAAGTCCGGGAGAGAGTGTAGGTAACAGGAACTGCTGTGGCCTGCAATGACAGCCGTGGTCCCAGAGCTACATAAAGTGCTAGGGCAAAAGAAATATGCTGGCTGGGGTGGGATGCCCAAGAGGGCTGGGCCCAACCCTGCTGACAGTGTCTCCACTTGCTTCTTTTCCAGCTTCCAGATTGGCTTCACTTGCTGATGGGCCTGAGGCCAGACTTTGCCCTCTGAGGGTTTCTCAGGTGGCGTGGCAGACACTGTGCCTGAGGGACCACTCTGCTTGAAGCTGTTTTTCTGGCGGAGGCCAATACTGTAGTGCTCTGCTCCTGCTGAGGCCATGAGGGGCCCACATCATGGCCACACAGTCCCATGGCCTGGCTCAGGTAAGGTGCCACACACCTCCGGTAGTAGCAGCTGCATCCTTGAAGTCCGTCAGTCTGAAGGGGAGAGAAATGATAGGAAATGTTACAGCGCCAGGAGGACGGATACCATGCTACAGTGGTCCTCAGGTAAGCAGTACAGTCCCACTTCAGCATTTTTGGGCAACCAGTCTTGGTCGTCATTTGGGGCCCTGGGAGAACACTAGATTTCCAGGGAGCTTCCAGTGGTCTTCCTATTGCCCTCATATGATCAAAGTTGGCTTCATTAAGGACTAAGACACTGAGGTGCCACCACCACTGTGAGGCCATTCATGAGTCCGCACTCTGTCACTCAGAAAGTTTTTCTCTCTCTCCAACAAAAAATACATCTTTCTGCCTCACCGCCCACAACTTTCCATGAGGGGCTACCTTCCCTCACCCAAAACCAGTGTGGCTAGGTATAAAGCAAATGTGGAGAGAGAAGAGTATCTTCCTTCTCATCAATCAATTCTGAAAGATGAAAGATTATTCGAGTCCAGGTGAGACAGCTCACACCTGTAATCTCAGCTTGACCCCAGGAGTTCAAGACCAGCCTGCCCAATATGGCAAAACCCCATCACTACAAAAAATTAGCTAGGCATGGTGGCATGCACCTGAAGTCCCAGCTACTAGGGAGGCTGACATGGGAGGATCGCTTGAGCCTGGGAGGTGGAGGTTGCAGCGAGCCGAGATGGTGCCATGTACTCCAGCATGGGCAACAGAGTGAGACCCCATCTTAGAAAAAAAAAGGTGATCTGAAAAACTCATTTTACATCTACTGCTCCCTAAATCAACTCAGCTGCCTCTGATTTAGTCTGCTTTTCACGGTTAAGTAGGACAAGTTCAGATAGGAGAACAGAATTCCCTTGCTGACCCCAGAGTTTATTCTGGAGCTGAGACAGCAATTTCATCTCTTGCTAACTACACAGGCTTAAATTCCATCCTGTGTGTTGGTGGGAAAAAGAAGAAAGAAAATTGAACTAAACACCAGCATTATTTTTACTTAAAGTGACTTTATTTCCAGCAGCCATACTGGGACAGGAGAGTTCAGGGAGTAAGAAGAGGACAGAAGCTTTCTTCACTCCAAAGTCCGGGCTTAAGTTTGGGCTTATCTCAGGGAGGAAGAGCCTGTCTCTTGCATCTTCTCAATCAGTGTTTGCTTTAATACAAAACCTCTAAGCCAGCCTTCTGGGTCTCAAACTGTCTGTTCAGCATGGTCACTTACTTTCTAAATCAAATTCACAAAATATTCTCCAATTTTCACAACTGTAGGGAAAGGTAGGCCTGCTTTCATGGCAGCACCTGGGGGGAAATAACGAAAACTGTAAAAAGTCATTCGTGGCCAGGCACAGTGGCTCACGCCTGTAATGCCAGCACTTTGGGAGGCTGAGACGGGCAGATCACTTGAGCTCAGGAGTTTGAGACCAGACTGGGCAACATGGCAAAACCCCATCTCTACAAAAAATACAAAAATCAGCCAGGTGTGGTACATGCCTGTGGTCCCAGCTACCTGGGAAGCTGAGGCATGAAAAACCTTGAGCATGGAAGGTGGAAGTTGCAGCAAGCCAAGATAGCACCACTGCTCTCCAGCCTGGGTGACAGAGTGAGACCCTGTTTCACAAAAAAAAAAAAAAAAAAAAAAAAAAAAAAGGTTGGGTGCGGTGGCTCACGCCTGTAATCTCAACACTTTGGGAGGCCAAGGAAGGTGGATCACAAGGTCAGGAGTTCAAGACCAGCCTGGCCAGCATGGTGAAACCCTGTCTCTACTAAAAATATAAAAATTAGCCAGGCGTAGAGGCGGGTGCCTGTAATCCCAGCTACTTGGGAGGCTGAGGCAGGAAAATCGCTTGAACTTGGGAGGCGGAGGTTGCAGTGAGCTGAGATTGCACCACTGCACTCCAGCCTGGGCGACAGAGTGAGACTCTGTCTCAAAAAAAAAAAGAAGAAGTAGTAGTCATTTGTCTGGGGTAATTCTGAAAGGAATCCTGACATCCTCATCAAGTGTTTTCAGAGTAGCTAGAGGGAAGGAATTAGAGAGGTTTTGTTTTGTTTTGAGACAGGGTCTTGCTCTGTCACCCAAACTGGAATGCAGTGGCGCAAACATGGCTCACTGCAGCCTCTGACTCCTGGACTCAAATGATCTTCCCCTTTCAGCCTCCTAAATAGCTGGGACCACAGGCATGCACCACCACACACAGTTGATTTTTTTTGTTATTGTTAAGATAGGGAGTGGCAGTATCTCACTATGCTGCCCAGGCTGGTCTCAACTCCTGGCCTCAAGTGATCCTCCCATCTCAGCCTCCCCATAAACTGGGATTACAAACCTGTGCCACTGAACCCAGCCCTAAGAGAGATGGTTTTTTCACTTAAGTAATATTTAAAACGCAAAAATTGAGAGACTACCTTGTATTTTGATTAACAGAGTAATGGCCAAGGAAGATCTAAGATTCCTGTCTACAGCTACGAATGAATACCACCAACAGACAGACTGCAGAAGCCACGGGATGTCGCCCTCTTTACCTGCAAAGGCTGACCTACATGGACTCTTTCTCAAGGAGAGTACAAAAAATCACAACGCAGCACTGCCAATATTCAAAATGATAGTGGGCTAAGAACAGCATAAATGCTAAAACTGGATTTTGAAGCCAGTTACCTCAAAATGAGGTGACAGAAAATGGACCACCACACAAGTCCAAGCTATGGAAATACCGTGCTTGGAACAATTACAGAGTTTGCTTATGGTAGAGAAGCATAGAGACAAAGGGAAAAGTCAAATCCTGCCAATCACTTCACAAGACTACACGCACACATGCATGTGTATTATGTACACTCAACATATTCACAAACCCTCACTTAGTCCTCTTTCAGGAATCCACATCTTCCCCACCAATGCAACACAACAGACATACCAAAGTGATAAGAGAATGCCTAAGGAAATGAAAACTCAGGCTGGTCCCCCTGAAAAACAGCCCCACTATTGATTCCCACGTGCATCAAGCTAGCTCAGCTCTTCATTCCCTTACAAGTGCTGTCCCTGGAGCCCTTTCTTCTTCTTCACCCAACTTAAAAAAATCAGCTGCAACATGACCTAGGCAGTCTTCTCTGACTCCTGAGTTTGAACAGGATGCCTCACTTCTCTGCATGCCACCATCACTGCTCACAGAACATTAGCTTCAATAATGAACTAACTCATCAGACTAGGAGCAAGGAGCACATTCTCCTCCAGCTGATGTCCCCAACACAGTAACTGATACACAGGAAGTGCTCAATATTCTGTTGAGTAAACAAACTGGAAAAGCACAGTAAATGAAGGGGAAACAAACTCGAATACTAGTTTGGGCACCTAATGAATGTCTGGTACCATGCTAGGCATTTTATTCATATTATTTCATTTAATCCTAAAAAAAACCTTACATTCACTTTACTGATGATGAATCCAAGACTCAGAAAAGTTAAGTAACTTTTCTATAATTAAATAACCAATAAGTAGTAATGCCTAGATTAAAACTCAAATCTGTCTGAGTCTACAGTGCCTATTAAATGGAATGAAACACATACTTAGACTCTATCCCCTCCATTATCTCTAATCTTTAGGTACGAGACAAAAGCCAGGCTGGAAACACTCCTCCATGTTTATACCAAGGCCCTTTGTGGAAAATCTCTAAAAGCACATCACTGACTTTTCATCATCACCACAGCCGATCAGTCCCCCTCTCCCTTGTAGCCACAGGCACCCACTGCACAACACTTCCTTTTGCACACACTGCTCAATGTTTGCCTTGCTACATCCCACCACATGAACCCTCAGTGCCAAACACAAGAACACAAGTAGCCCAACACCTAGCTGGTTTGGCTTTTAATCCAAAAGAGGAAGAGGGAGGCCAAGAATACACGCCTACCCTCCTCAGAAGCTGCAGGTGGCCTGCTCCCAGATAAAGTGTTAAACAACACACCTGGGCAGGTACTAGAGTAGCGTGAATTCTCTTCTCTCTAAGGTATTCCAGATCTCATATCTCTGCAATAGTCATTTCCCACTTCTTGTCTCCTCTCATAGTCCCTATATGGTTTGCATTTGTGTCCCCACCAAATCTCATGTTGAGTTGTAATCCCCAACACTGGAGGAGGTGACTGGATCATGGAGGCGGATTTCCCCCTTGCTGTTCTCATGATAGTGAGTTCTCGTGAGATCTGGTTGTTTAAAAGTGTATAGCACTGCCCCACTTTCTCTCTCTCCTGCTCCGGCCATGTGAAGACATGCCTGCTTCCCCTTTCACCACGACTAAATGTTTCCTGAGGCCTCTGCAGCCATGCTACCCATACAGCCTGCAGAACCATGAGCCAATTAAACCTCTTTTCTTTATAAATCACCCAGTCTCAGGTATTTATTTATAGCAGTACTAGAATGAATACAGTCCTCACAATGTGTAGTATAGCAAGTTGGAGAAGGGCCACCTGTCTTCCTAAAGAAATATGTCTGGACTCAAGGGCCAACAAGCAGGTGAGAGGACGTTTCTGTAACTCTCTTTCTGGGAAATACTTCCAAAGCTAGTTAAGAGATACCCAGGGTTGGATAAGATGGCTGTGTTAGGAATTGCCAAGCAAAGACAAATTTGTTGCATCTGCAGAGAGTAACTTCAAGAATGCCAAGTAAACAGTATCACTCGCAACAGTATCAAATACAAATGCTGCAACCTAGTTTCAGTGTTTGAGGTTCAGTAGTGTCACTTTAAGACAAGGAAATGATGGTTGCTAAAAACAACTTCCTTCCTTCTCTTTATAGAGATTCTTAATGAGATCAAAACCTCAAATGGTTGGGAAGCAGAGGCCTAACTAAAGCATTCAGGCAGCCTGGGTCCCAGACCCCCAATCACTGCCACAGGTCATCTTTTCCAGTATCCTGCCCACTGCTTTAAAGGAATGCAAGTGACAAACTTTAAAAAGCTTCTGAAGGCCCAAAGTCTAAGAAGTGAAGGAAGTTGGCCGGGCACGGTGGCTCAAGCCTGTAATCCCAGCACTTTGGGAGGCCGAGATGGGCGGATCACGAGGTCAGGAGATCAGGACCATCCTGGCTAACAAAGTGTAACCCCGTCTCTACTAAAAAATACCAAAAAATAAAAATAAAAACTAGCTGGGCGAGGTGGCGGGCGCCTGTAGTCCCAGCTACTTGGGAGGCTGAGGCAGGAGAATGGCGTAAACCCGGGAGACGGAGCTTGCAGTGAGCTGAGATCCGGCCACTGCACTCCAGCCTGCACGACAGAGTGAGACTCCGTCTCAAAAAAAAAAAAAAAAAAAGAAGTGAAGGAAGTGAGAACCTTGTTTCAAAAGCTAACATAGTGAGTTCTGCCATAAAGCCAAAGTCCAGAGAGGCAAATAATGTCTGGCACCCAGACCCTACCGACAGAACATACTTAGAGGGCAATTTTCAGCAAAGTCATCAAACCTATTCCCTGTGATATACTCTGGGCTCCTAAGATGACGTCTGGGAGACCTTTCTGCCAGTGTCCCTTATATTTCTAAGTGTTCTGTGATAATGCACACTTTGTGTATATATGCGCCTCTAGGGTCCAAAAAGCAGACTGCTCATCTCCCAGGAAGTATTTTAGGAAGAAACATCAAAAGAAAGATAACAGGAGAAAAGGTATTTATATATGTAGAAACCTATGTACTGGCTACTAATGGAAGCCCATTTCAAAAACTCCCAACTTAAACAAAGCTAAACTTATAAAGAGTAATTGCTGACTACGTAAATTACAAAGGATTAACTACATATTTATACTACTTAAAGATAACTCAAGGCATTCATCCTTACTCTCTGTTACTAAGTCCAAAGGATCCACCATCAGCTGACCCTCCAATCAGCAGCTTGCAAGGAACTTACTTTAGGGGCCAATAAATTGACCTCACCTGAAAAATAATATTTTGAATAATCTAACATTTTATGGAGCAATGATCTAATGTGTTTCTTGTTCCTACACATGATCCCTAGGGAGCAGGAGGGCTTAACGGGCAAACAGCTTATAAACACTAAGCTATAGCCGGCAGAGTTCAACTTTAGAAGAAAACAAGCCTATTTCTGTAGCTAAGTTCCTCAATCTAGGTCCTCCTCACAGTCAGGCTACATGAGCAGCTACCACCTCGTGGTGACTCATGACAATCAGAGCACAGATCAGTAGTGAATCACATGCAACTCTGAAACAGAATAGCTGGAACGTTGGGGGAAAGACAAGAGAGAGGAAGTACCACACCCCCATTGAGTAGTTGTGGGTGGTGAAGTTACAAATTCACATAAAGCACATAAAAAGCACAGGGGCTCCCAGTAAACATTTGCAGCATGGTAGTTACAACTCTCATTCTCACTGGCTCCAAATGATCTATCTCCCCTCTGCCCCTTCATAAGCTGTGATGAAGGTGGAAAAATACAAGGAATAGGCAACAATTATTCCACTACAAAACTTCAGCTAGGACAGGTAATGTTCTTTTGTAAAAGATAACTGTCTTGCTATTTGGGAGCTTTTGTGATTTTTTTTTTTTTTTTTAAACAGTCTCACTCTGTTGCCCAGGCTGGAGTGTAGTGGTGCAATCTCGGCTCACTGCAACCTCCACCTCCTAGGTTCAAGTAATTCTCCTGCCTCAGCCTTCCAAGTAGCTGGGATTACAGACACCCGCCACCACGCCTGGCTAATTTTTGTATTTTTAGTAGAGACGGGGTTTCACTATGTTGACTAGGCTGGTCTTGAACTCCTGACCTCAAGTGATCCACCCACCTCAGCCTCCCAAAGTGCTGGGATTACAGGTGTGAGCCAACATGCCCAGCTGATTTCTTTTTTTTTTTTTTTTTGGACAAGGTCTCCCTCTGTCACCAAGGCTGGAGTGCAGTGGTGCAGTCATAACTTACTGCAGCCTAGGACTCCTGGGCTCAAACAACCTGCCCACCTCAGTCTCCTGAGTAGCTAGGACTACAGGTGCACATCACCATGCCTAGCTATTTTTTACTTTATTTTATTTTTATAGCAATAGAGTTCCACTATGTTGCCCAGGCTGGTCTCAAACTCCTGTCCTCAAATGATCCTCCTGCCTTAGCCTCCCAAAGTTCTGGGATTATAGGCATGAGCCACCACACCCAGCAGAAACTATTTTAAATGTTACCTGTTAATAAAAGCAGCCAGAGCTCCTTGAAAAATGGCTGATTACAGGGTTAGGGCAGGGAGAGCAGGAGACGGGCCTGGAATATTTTGTGCTGCCAAAAAGTAAGGAAGTGGTCAAAATTTGATAGAGACATGTCAAAAGACCATAGATACAGGTAACATCATACTTAATAGTGAATTATGAGATGCTTTTCCTCTAGGATTAGGAATAAAATAAGACAAAGGATGTCTACTCTCTCCATTTCTTTTTTATTTTATTTATTTATTTACTTTGACATGGTGTCTCGCTCTGTTGTCCAGGCTGGAGTGCAGTGGCACAATCTCAGCTCACTGCAACCTCCGCCTCCCGGGTTCAAGTGGTTCTTCTGCCTCAGCCTCCCGAGTAGCTGGGACTACACGCATGTGCCACCATACCCAGCTAATTTTTTTTTCTTTCTTTCTTTCTTTTTTTTTTTTTTTTGTATTTTTAGTAGAGACGGGGTTTCACCATATTGGCCAGGCTGGTCCTGAACTCCTGACCTCGTGATCTGCCCGCCTCGGCCTCCCAAAGTGCTGGAATTACAGGCATGAGCCACCATGCCCGGCCTCCATTTCTATTAGACCCTATACTAGAACTTCTAAGCAGTGTGACATGGCAAGAAAAAGAAATCAAAGATATACAGATTGGAAAGGAAGAAGTAAAACTGTCATTATTTGTAGGACATATGATCTTGTACATAGAAAATCCTGGCTGGGCACACTGGCTCACACCTGTAATCCCAATACTTTGGGAAGATGAAATAGAAGGATCACTTAAGACCATGAGTTTGAGAACAGCGTGAACAATATAGGGAGACATCATCTCTACAAAAAATTTTAAAAATTAGCATAAGCCTATAGCCCCAGCTACTTAGGAGGTTGAAGTGGGAGGATCACTTGAGCCTGGGAGGTTGAGGCTGCAATGAGCCATGATTGCACCACTGCACTTCAGCCTGGGTGATAGAATAAGACCCTGTCTTAAAAAAAAAAAAAAAAAAAAAGAGAGAGAGAAAATCCTAAAACATTTACCAAATAAAAAATCCTACTAGAACTAATAACCAAGTTTAGTAAGGTCACATAATACACCATCAATATACGAACATCAGTTTTAGTTCTACATACTAGCAACAAACAAACAACATGTAAAAATGAAATACACAATTCCATTCACAACAGGATCAAAAAGAGTAAAGTATCTAAGAATAGGGACTTCTGGTTCCAAAATGGCAGTATAGAAGCAAGCTGGCTTCACTTTCCCTCACAGAAAACCAAACACAAATACACAGCACCAAGATTATCACCAGCAAAATCCCAGAACTCAAATATGAAGAGGAGACAGTTCCTGGGACCACAGAGAAGGGAAAAAATTCTGACAAAGTGGTAAGAAAACTGAACTTCCACATCTGCAGCATCCCCTCCCTCAATCTTCCTGGTACCAAGGACATAGAAAACCTGCCCCCAACTCACAATTTCTAAACTGGAAAAAGTGAGATTGAGATAGACAACCAGGTTGGGTGCACTGGCTCACGCCTATAATCCCAGCACTTTGGAAGGCTGAGGCGGGCAGATTACCTGAGGCCAGGAGTTTGAGACCAGCCTGGCGAACATGGCAAAACCCCATCTCTACTAAAAATACAAAAAATTAGCCGGGCATGGTGGCAGGCACCCATAATCCCAGCTACTCGGGAGGCTGAGGCAGGAGCATGGCTTGAACCTGGGAGGTGGAGGCTACAGTGAGCCAAGATCATGCCATTGCATTCCAGCCTGGGCAACAAGAACAAAACTATGTCCCCCGCCGCCAAAAAAACAACAGACCACCAGCTTCCCTGTCCATGCCTCAACCTACAGAAAGCATCAAGAGTGCCTAAAGAGAGAGAAATATCCCTGAAGACAGCCAGAAACAAAGCAAGGAGGTAGGACTATCATACTCAGTCCTGGACTCTGCTCTGTAACTCAGCCAAAGGAGACACCAAATCAGAGTGGCTGTGCAGCAACACTACTCTCTATAGGAGGTATGTTCTACAGGTCACCTGGGCACAAACCCCTAGCCGGCCTTCCCACATTGCCAGGATATTCCTTTTGGGACCTCCTCCAATTGGGAAGGGCAGTGTTCCAAAGCAGGGGTCCCCAACTCCTGGGCCACGGACTGCTACTGGTCCACGGCCTGTTAGGAAACCAGGCCACATAGCAGGAGCTGAGCATTGGGCAAGCAGCATTACCATGTAGGCAAGTATTACTGCCTGAGATCCACCTCCTGTAGGCTCAGCGGCAGCATTAGATTCTCATAGGAGCGCTCACCCTATTATGAACTGCCCATGTAAAGGATCTAGGTTGCGTGCTGCTTATGAGAATCTAATGCCTGATGATCTGTCACTGTTTCCCATCATCCCCAGATGGGACCACCTAGTTGCAGGAAAACAAGCCCCAGGGCTCCCACTGAGTCTATATTATGGTGAGTTGTATTATTATTTCATTATATATTACAATGTATTAACAGAAATAAAGTGTACAAAAAAATTTAATGTGCTTGAATCATCCCAAAGCCACCTCCCCACCCACCCACCCCAGTCAGTGGAAAAACTGTCTTCCAGAAAACTGGTCTCTGGTGCAAAAAAGGTTGGGGACCACTGCTCTAAAGCCAAGACAAACCTGGGGCCAAGATGCCATCTAGTGTTGAAAAAGAGGTAATGACCTAGTGATTTAACAAAAAAGATAGTCAACAGGTTAAGTTACAAAAAAATCTCTAAACAAACATATCCAATAACAACCGAAACAAGCCAGACAGAGAAGACTGGAATAAATAATCCTTCAGTGTAGAGATATATACATATATCCACATATCCACAAGAAATAACAGCAAACAGAGAACTATGACAAAGCAAGAAATGGACAAAGCAAGAAAACAGTGACTGACTCTAATGAAACAGTGATACATGAGCTCTCTAACCAGGAACTCAAAATAGCAGTTTTTTTTGTTGTTGTTGTTTTTGAGACAGAGTCTCGCTCTGTCGCCCAGGCTGGAGTGCAGTGGTGTGAACTCGGCTCACTGCAAGCTCCACCTCCCGGGTTCACACCATTCCCCTGCCTCAGCCTCCTGACTAGCTGCAACTACAGGTGCCCGCCACCACGCCCGGCTAATTTTTTGTATTTTTAGCAGAGACAGGGTTTCGCCGTGTTAGCCAGCACAGTCTTCATCTCCTGACCTTGTGATCCACCCACCTCGGCCTCCCAAACAAAATAGCAGTTTTAAGGAAATTTGGTGATCTCCAAGATAACACAAAAGCAATTCAGAAATTTATCAGAGAAATTTAAAAAAGAGATTGTTAATAATAATGATGTTTAAAACAAATCTTAGAACTGAGAAATAAATTGCTTACCTGAAAAATTTACTAGACTCTTAACAGCACAATGGATCAAGCAGAGGACAGTATTAGTGAGCTTGAAGACAGTCTATCTGAAAATACACAGATGAGAAAAAAGAAAACAGAATGAAAAGCAACAAAGATAACCTATAAGACACAGAAAACTACCTCAAAAGACCAAATCTAACAATTATTGGTATTCAAGAGGGAGCTAAGCAAGACACAGGGGTGGCTTACTAAAAGAAATTAGCAGGCTGGGCACGGTGGCTCACACCTGTAATTCCAGCACTTTGGGAGGCCGAGGTGGGTGGATCATTTGAGGTCTGGAGCTCGAGACCTGCCTGACCAACATGGTGAAACCCTATCTCTATTAAAAATACAAAAATTAGCTGGGCATGGTGCACACCTGTAATCGAAGCTACAGGCGGCTGAGGCAGGAGAATCACTTGAACCCAGGAGGCGAAGGTTGCAGTGAGCTGAGATTGCACCACTACACTCCAGCCTGGGCAACAGAGTGAGACTCCATCTCCAAGAAAGACAAGAAAGACAAGAAAGACAAGAAAGACAAGAAAGACAGAAAGACAGACAGAAAGAAAGACAGAAAGACAGAAAGAAAGAAAGAATGAAAGAAAGAAAGAGAAAGAAAGAAAGAAAAGAAAGAAAGAAAGAAAGAAAGAAAGAAAGAAAGAAAGAAAGAAAGAAAGAAACAAACAAACAAACAAACAAACAAACTAGTTACTGGTCTGCAAGAAATTTCACAAAAGGGGCCAGGCATGGTGGCTTACACCTGTAATCCCAGCAGTTTGGGAGGCTGAGGCAGGTGGATCACTTGAGGCCAGGAGTTTGAGACCAGCCTGGCCAAGACGGTGAAACTACATTTCTACTAAAACCAGAAAAAATTAGCTGGATGTGGTGGCACATGCCTGTAATCCCAGCTACTCATGAGGCTGAGGCATGAGAATCACTTGAACCCAGGAGGCGGAGGTTGCAGTGAGCTGAGATCATGCCTGGGTGACAGAGTGAGACTCTGTCTTGGAAAAAAAAAAAAAAGAAACAGAAATTTTTCCAAAACTTGAGAGAGATACATATATCCAACCTAGGCATATAATAATTAAACCTCTCAAGGTTCAAGGGCAAACAGAAGATTTTAAAAGGAGCAAGAGAAAAAGAAGCAAATACATATAAGGGAGCTCCAATTCATCTGGCAACAATATTCTCCTCAGAAATTATCCAAGTGAGGGAGTGAAACATTTCAAAGTGCTGAAAAAAACTGCCCTCCAAGAATACTGTATCCAGCAAAACTACTCTTCAAATATGAGAGATAAAGTCTCTTTCCCAGATAAACAAAAGCTGAAAGAATTCACTACCACCAGACCCGTCTTAGAAGTAATGCTAAAGAGAGTTCTTCAATTTGAAGGGGGGGAAAAAAACTAACATGCAAAAAGAAAACATTTGAAGGTATAAAATCCACTAGTAAAATTAGATAAATGGACAAACCCAGAATAGTCTAATACTCTAATTATGATATGCAATCTAATCATAATTCTAGTATGAAGCCCAAAAGACAAAATTGTCAAAAACAGTAACAGCTACAGCAACTTCTTAAGAAATAGGCAAATAAGGCTGGGCACGGTGGCTCACATCTGTAATTCCAGCACTTTGGGTGGCTCAGGCAGGCAGGTCACTTGACGCCAGGTGTTCAAGACCAGCCTGGCCAACATGGTAAAACCCTGTCTCTACTAAAAATACAAAATTTAGCCAGGTGTGGTGGCGTGTGCCTGTAATCCCAGCTACCTGGGAGGCGGAGGCCGGAGAATTGCTTGAACCCAGGAGGTGGAGGTTGCAGTGAGCCGAGACCACACCACTGCACTCTAGCCTGGACGACAGCGTGAGACTTTGTCTCAAAAATAAAAAAGGCAATATGAAAATATGTAAATTGAGACACAAAAAGCTAAAATGTATGGGGGATAGAGTTAAAGTGTAGAAAGTTTTTATGGTTCTCAATTTGTTCATTTCTATTCTTTTGGAGTTCGAGACCAACCTGGGCAACATAGTGAGATCCTATCTCTACAAAAAAAAACCCACAAAAAATTAGCTAGGCATGATGGCACATGCTGGTAGTCCCAGCTACTTGGGAGGCTAAGGTAGGAGAAGCGCTTGAGCCCAGGAGATCGAGGCTGTGGTGAGCCGTGAATATACCACTACGTTCCACACTAGGGGACAGAGCAAGATTCTGTCTCAAAAAAAAAAAAAAGTTATCATCTCTCAAAATGACTTGTTATAGGGTGGGCTACTTGGGAAGTTGAGGTAGAAGGATCGCCTGAGCCCAAGAAGTCGAGACTGCAGTGAGCTGTGATCATGCCCCTGCACTCCAGCCTGGATGATAGGGCGAAACCCCGTCTCAATAAAAAATAAAATAAAATAAAAATAACTACAAGCTGTTTTTTGTAAGTCTCACAATAACCACAGCGCAAAAACCTGTAATAAATCCACTAAAAATAAAAAGCAATTAATTAAACCATACTACTAGAAAAAACTACAAAAACAGTAAGAAAGAGGAATTACAAAGTAACCACAAAACAAGCAGTCAAATAGCAGTAGTTAAGTCCTTACTTATCAATAACAACACTGAATGTAAATGGACTACAAATAAAGGAAACGTGGTATATATACACAACAGAATATAATGGAGCCATAAAAAAGGAATGAAATCCCATCATTTGCAGCAACATGGATGGTACTGGAGGTCATTATGTTAAGTAAAATAAGCCAAGCACAGAAAGACAAATATGGCATGTTCTCACTCATATGTGGGAGCTTAAAAAAATGGATTTCAGAATATAGAGAACGGATTGGTGGTTATCAGAGGCCAGGAAGAGTAGGGGGAAGGGTAGGCCTGTTTCAGGTAATGGAGCAAGAAGTAAGTCCATTTGCTTGAGTTGTTCACTGTTAAAATCCATTTCTACCAGTATAATTTCAAAGAAAAGTTGAAGTTGATTGGTGTGCTACCTGCTTTCTGGTCTGAGGAAAACCAAACTTCCCTTTAAGTAGTACTGAGGTTTTAAAAATGTTTTTTTTAATTTTGCAATTATCCCAGACTTGCAAAAAGTTACAAAAATAGTACAAAGAACTCCTGTTTACCCTTTACCCAGATTCATCAAATGTTAATACTTTACCACACTTGTTTTATTATTCATTCATATTCTCTCTCACATCTCTGTGTGAACCGGTTTTTGAAATGTTTGAGAGTAAACTGCAGACATGATACCCCTTTACATCTGAATACTTCCTAAAAACTTCCTAAATGTTTGCTAAAACCAGGATATTCTCTTATACTCAAAAAATTAACATTGATAATACTATAAACTATATTATTATCTACCATACAGACCTTATCCAAATATCACCAATTGTCCCATCAATGTCCTTTATCTGGCCCAGGATCACAAGCTGTATTCACCTGTCATATCTTTTTAGTCTCCTTTAATCTGTAATAGTTCTTCAGCCTTTATTTTTCTTTAATGAGCTTGATACTTCTGAAGAATACAGACCAGTTATTCTAAACAATGAAACTCAATTTGGTTTTGTCTGAAGTGATGATATATCCTTAGTGGCATCATATCATGAGGCCCATGTCAATTTGTACTATTACTAATGATATTATGTGCTTCATGATATGATGCACTTAAGGATATATCATCACTTCTGCAATTTCCAAACAAAAATGCATCATCTTGAATGTGTACCTGTACCCATTAATCAACCTCTCTAACCGGCCAGTGAATTTGTAAACTCTGGCTCAAGGTGAGTTCAAGGGAAGGCATACTACTCAAGCCTGGCAGATAAAGTTTAATGGAAGCACTTTCTCTGGGACCTATCAACACACAAGCTGGTAGGAGTTCTCCAATACTTAGAGGGAAAATGCTATTTAAATGTGATTCTGTGTAAAACCTCACATCCCAATAAAACACAAGTCCTTGTTGTGTCCTCAATGGAGAAAACAGTTGCTGTCAGCACCCAGCTGAGAAACAGGAACCTAGAGGCTGAGACAAGGATTTTAGGGCTAGAGTCAAGGAAACAAGGGAGCACTGTGGCAAGCTCAAGGGTTTCTATAACCACTGTTATTCAAAAGAAAAGAACATGTTATCTGTTAATCTCCTTGAACATAAGGTGAGAATGTCATACTCTAACAAAGTCATGCTAGAGGGAAGTGAGAGAACAGATCAATCACATTCCCCTCTTGTCCAATTAATCTTTCAGAGTCAGGGCCAAGAAATAAGCTGTAATTGCACAAAGAAGACTTCAATAAAAAATATTCAGGCACAAGGGGATCAAGGGGCTCTGTCCCTGGACAGGCATCCCCACAACACAGAAACTCCCGACATGCCTGTCAGAATGATGCTTTCACCCTGACCTTAGCAGCTCTTCAGTTCCACTTAATCCATCAACAAGTCCTTCCAGCTTCAAATATATGTCTTTGAATCTGGCTATTCTTCCCCATTTCCACTGTCATTACCTTAGTCAAGCTACCATCATCTCTCAACTGCTGATTTCCTGGCTTCCATATCATCTACTTTCCAGACAGTGGCTACTCTTTTCAAAACACAGTACTCTTTAAAACACAGCTTAAGACCATCTGATGGCTCCAAGGACTATGTGATCCGATTCCTGACTCTCTGACCTTATCCAGAGCTACTCTTCCCCTCACGAGGAACGTTCCCATCCGTGGGTCTTTGAGGTTCCCTCTGAAACATTCAGATCTCTGAATGGCTCGCTTAGTTCCTTCACTCAGTATTCAGCTCAAAAGGCCTTCCTCGTCAACCCTATCTAATATGTCCTACCCCAATCATTTCTTATTTCATTACCTTGTTTTATTCCCTCCATTTCATTCCTCCACTATCTAAAATTATTATATGTTAATATTTCCTTACACTTGGCTCAAAAAAAAAAAAAAAGATGAACAAAGAAGCTGGTAACTTTTTTAAAAACTACCAATGAGATTGGAAAGAGACAAAGATGAGAGACTTATCTGTATATACCTTTTCCTATAATTTTAATTTCTTTTTGTTTCTTTGAGACCAGGTCACTTGGT